GTTATCTAAATAATTAATTAATATAATTTAATGTAATAACAAAATGACAATTCGTCGTTTAATATTTCAATATCGATTCGAAATCCGTGTTTGATTGATCGTCAAATATGCGAGAACATATGGGATTGGTAAAGGGGGGGCGGGGCGGGGGACGGGGAGGGTTAGAAAAAAGAAAACAAAAATGGAGGAATGAAAATTTATACAAGATCTTGTATGGCGATGTGATTTCTACAAAAAAAAAAAAAAAAAAAAAGAAGAAAAGAAAAAAAAAACGGAACAAAACAAAAAAAGTGAAAAGGAAAAAGGAAAAAAGAAAAGAAAAAAAAAAACAAACAAATAATAGAATGAAATAAAAGTTGGGCGTTAACAAAAGGAAAATTATATGTTGTCCCCCATATTGAATGTACGATAACAGGTTGTTCTCGAATTGGAATGAAAGGTTCTAACCATTTATGGTATTTGTTTGGAGCATGGTATCGTTCTATTCGATAATAAACGTGCCGCCATATACCAGCAACATCGCGATGGAATTTCAAGCACGATTAAGCTTCGCGAATGATCGTTTCTCTCTCTTTCTCTCTCTCTCTCTCTATCTCTCTCTCTTCCTCTATCTCGATTTCTCTTCATTTCTCTCTCTCTCTCTCTTTCTCTATCTCTTTCATTCCTGTTGCTTCATATGAATTGCCAAACGATAATCGTTCCCGATCTAAATGCAATTTTGCGATCGACCAATTACCAGCAGAGTAGAACGTGAATTTGAAAGGATCGAGTTTAGTTTATTCTCGACGTGTTTCTCTCACAAATGTTTATTATAATATTCTATTATTAATTTGTTTCTCTATTTATCTCGTTATCAATGGATTAATTATTATCTTTCACGAATGACCAAACTTGAGAAATTTTTTTTTTCCTTGGTTTTTCTTTTTTTTTTTTTCTTTTTTCTTTTTTTTCTTTTTTTTTCTATATACATCGAACGCTATCGTCATTTTCATTTGTTTATATTACGTATTTCATAAGTTCTCAATATATTTCTAATGAAAAATAATTTCTTTTTTTTTTTTTTTTTTTTTTCAAACGTAACGATGGATAAGTATTTAAATATAAAAATGTATGAAAGAATTGAAAATTCTATCTATTTAATTTATCTATCTATCTTCTCTCCTTTTTTTTATATATATATATAATAATAATAATAATAATATAATAATAATAATAATAATAATAATAATAATAATAATAATAATAATGGATATAATCACGTCATATATTAATGATAACAACGAAATTCATGTATAAACGACAACAATGAAATATGATTATGGTTTCTGCGAAATCGTTCGATCCTTGTCATCGTCGTACATATATATATATATATATATATATACACGACGCACACAAATATTTTTTTTTTTTTATTATTATTTTTTTTTTTTCCATCTTCCTTTTCTTCCTCCTTTCGTCCGGTCGACGGAGAATCATTTTTCACGAGAATAAGAAGAGTATAATACGAAGAGGCGTTCTCGATACGTAGTTCCGAAAACTCCGCGATACGTTTAATATTCATATCGAGAGAGCTTGTGCTTCCTCGCTCGTTCGTTCGTTCGTTCATTCGTTCGTTCGTTCGTTCGTTCGTTCGTTCATTCGTTCGTTCGTTTGTACGTTCATTCGCTCGTTCGTTCGCTCGCTTATCCTGGCATGTATGTCCATATACTCTTCTCTCCTCCTCCCACCGATAAAACAACATTTTCCACGAAGAGGATTCGATTGTCGTTTCTCGGTACTTTTTATTTACACCCTCGTCGTACGAAACTTTATCGATATCGACTTCGTTAAACTTCGACGAGCCGTTCGAATTTCCCGCCAACGAGGCGTTTCTTCTTCCCATTCTTTCTTTTTTTTTTTTTTTTATGTATACTTTTTTTTTTTGTTATTTCTTTTCTTATATATATATATATGTATGTATGTATATATGTATGTATTTATGTAGATATTTATTTATTTATTTATTTATTTATTTATTTATTTATTTATTTATTTATGCTTTGGCAAGTACGAGATGAACGTTTTTAATTGGACATAGTCCAATTGGTCATCTTATTAATATTTTGTTTTCTTATTTCTTTATTACTTATTCATTTATTCGTTGTAACGCGAATTGGATGAATATTTCAATCGAATTACAAAGTTTTTATAAGTCCTCTTTTAATATTTTTCTAATTTTTCATTTACTCATTTGTTCATTTATTGATTTATTTATTTAGTTTTATCGTAATCGTCGTCGTCGTCGTCGTCGTCGTCACTTCAATTATATTTGATGTTCTCTTTTCTGTCATTTATTATTTATTATTTTATTTTATTTATTTATTTATTTATTTTTCTTTTAATTTCTTTTTTTTTTTTGTTTTTTTTTTTTCGAACAAAAACTATATATTAATTTCGTTCGTTCGAAAATCGTTCCAATTCGTTTATGATGTGACGAGTAAATAACGAAAGGTTAATC